CCAGCTTCAACCGCCTGGATCTCCCTCCCTACAAGAGCTACGAACAGCTGAAGGAGAAGCTGCTTTACGCCATCGAGGAGACGGAAGGGTTCGGACAGGAGTGAAGGAGCTGCGGGGCGTTCCCGAGCGCTGCCGGCCGGTGCCCAGGGCCGAGCCCTCCCCGGGGTGTGCAGGCACCATGGACACTGTGGCTGCTGCTCCCGGCCCTGGGGGAGCGGGGCTGTGCTTCCCTCCCTGAGGAAATCCGAGCTGTGACGGGGAGAACACGGGCACTGGGCTCTCGAGGGCTGGCACAGAGGGGCTGGGGGGCAGCACAGGGGCACCAAGCTCCCCGGCCCTCCTCAGACACGTGTTTGGTACAGGCTCTTGTTCACCCTCGTGTTTTCTGCCTTTTCATGGCATTTTAGTAGTGGCAGGTGAGGGGGAAATGGCTCTCAGACTGACTTTGGGGCCCTATCCTGCACTCAGCAACAGGGACCCCCACAATGATGCTTCTGAGGGGCTCTTGTGCCCCACCTGAGCACCAGGACAGCCCCTGGAGCCAGAGCCTGGCTGAGCGTTTCTGGATTTGCAGCCCCTGGCAGTTGTATTTATGCGGTTTCTGCTGGAATTGGTGCTCCACAGCGGGCCCTGGGCACTGCCAGCCCTCACTCGGATCCYGGGCTCTGCCCACACTCCCTGTGTTCCTGTGCTGCCGGCTGGGCTGTGACAAGGGCGAGGCCACCTGGCTGCCACCTCTGCCCGTCCCCGTGCGTGCAGGGGACACCCGGGGCTGTGGGGACGGGACCCACAACGGCTCCGGGCTGGGAACCGGCCGGTTCTGCACAGCCCCGCCTGCTCCGCGCGGCTTCCAGTGCAATAAACGACAAAGCAGCTGCCGAGGTGTGCCTGTGTGCTGGAGCCGGGTGGCCCGGGTCACTGGGTGTCCTGTCACTGGGTGTCCCCTGTCCGTGTGTGTGTGTGTCCTGGGTCACTGGGTGTGTCCTGGGTCACTGTGTGTTCCCTGTCCATGTTCGTGTCCTGGGTCACTGGGTGTCCTAGGTCACTGTGTGTCCTTTCCGTGTGTCCCCTGTCCATATGCGTGTCCCTTGGTACATATGTGTTGTCCCCTGTCCATGTGTGTGTCCCCTGTCCGTGTGTGTCCCCTGTCAGTGGGTGTGTCCCTGTCCACGTGTGTGTCCTGTCACTGTGTGTCCCCTGTCCCTGGGTTCGTCCCCTGCCCATGTGTGTCCCCTGTTTGTGTCCCTGTTCACGTGTGTATCCTGTCACTGTGTGTGTCCCCTGTCMGTGTGTCCCCTGTCCGTGTGTCCCCTGTCCGTGTGTGTGTCCCCTGTCCATTAATGTGTGTCCCTTGTCCGTGTGTGTGTCCCATCCATGCGTGTGTCCCCTGTCCATGTGTCCCCTGTCCCTGGGCGTGTCCCCCGTCCATAGGTGTCCCCCAGGGTGGGTCTGTGCAGGGCTGGGGCTCCAGGGCCATGAGGGGCAGCTGGAGCTCAGCTCTGAGATCACAAATCCCATGGATTTTGTCCCTGCTCGTTCTGAGCCAGCAGTGACAGCCCCAGTGCCACCCCAGGCTCGGCTCGCAGCCTCCTGCAGCTCAGCTGTGCCCACCTGTGCCACAGGGCCAGAGAAATGCAGGGAGGGCTGTGCTGCACCAGCTGGGCTGATGGCGATGGATGAGCCCTGGAAAATGGCAACACACTCACTCAGAGTGGAGTGTGAGTGGGCCGAGGCCTCAACGCCTTCCCAGACACACTGGGGGAAGGAAAAGTGTTGTTATTATATAAAAATAAAATCAAATCAAAACCCTCCCCATGGCTCCCCCCAGCCCTGCCCAGATGAGAAAAAGCTGAGCGCTGAGCATGGCACACAAAACCCCAATCCAGGAATTTAGTTTACAAGATTTTTAATTTACAAATAAAAAAAACCTACACCTTTTACTTTTTCTCCTTTTTCTCCTCTTTCTTGCCATCAGTCTTCTCCTTGTCCTTGTCCTTCTCCTTCTCATCCTTCCTCTCCTTTTTACTTTCTTCTTTTTCCTGTCCTTCCTTCTTCTCAGCATCCCTGTTGGCAATCTTGTTGTTGATGAGGTTGTGMAGGGCCACCACGGAGCGGATGAGCGAGGCCAGGTACACCACCACCATCTGGTCGTTGGTCTTCAGGTAAAAGGCCTTGACAAATTCCTGCAGGTTCACATCTGGGAGCAGGTTGAAGACGTCCTGGAGGTGGTAGATGATCTGGTGGTTGATGGGGAGTTTGCCCAGGGCTACTTTCTCTAGGTAGCTCCTGATGTCCAGAAGTTTGGAGTTCAGTCCCTTCAAGCCATGGACCTGGTTTGTGATCCGCTGGGACAGCGTGCCCACCGTGGTGTCCTTGATGTCCCTGAAAGGCAGAGAGAATTGGGATTAGAGCCTCACCCTGCTGGGCACGATGGGATCCACACTCCTGGGGTTTGTGCTGTGTTTAACGTGCTCCTCGGGCAGTGCCCCAGGACAGCACCCCCTCACCTCAGCAGGTGCTCCACACCCACTTCCTCAGCCTCCTCCGCACCAATCTCGCTCGTCACGTGCTCAAAGGTCTTGGAGGTCGGGGTGCCATCCTAAAGAGACACACAAAAGGGGGATTGTAGCCAGGGGATCAGGGATTGCACCAATGGAACCAGAAAAGCAGCCCTGGACAGCCCACAAGGAATCTGAGAGGAACAGTTCTGGCTGGGATGTCCTTGATTTAATCAGTGTCACCGACTGCCCCAGCAATCTCTCCTGCTCTGGGTAACTTCCCATTTCTGCATTTTGCTTGTCTGTGCCCAGGGGAGAGCAATGGAAATTCTCACTAAATATCACAATTATTTCTCTCTTGTCTGATCCAACCTCACTGCATTTTGGGGGAACAGCTCCTGCTCTGTAGTGAAGACCTCAGAAAGGCAAAAGGATCCCATATTTTATACACATCCAGAATTAACCTAAATGCAAGAATCGCAGCTGACTCACTGCTAGGTGTTGTTTGTGTGCAAGGAGTGAGGTGCTCAGGGCAGAAAAACAATGACTGGGCACAGCTGGGAGCACCCGCACGCAGTGACACCCACAAGTTACAGGCTCCCAGTGCTCCCAGCAGTGACTGTGACACTGTGACACCTCACACGGGGAACACTCACATCATGGACCTCCTCCACGGAGATGTAGGCTTCTGTGGGCAGCCCCAGGTCCTTCGGCTTCACGTCAATGATCACCAGCACCTGGGGGAGACAGAAAACCTTCAGAAAACTGGATTTCGGTCAAAGAATAGGAAAAAAWAAMYSARSYCWKCTCTYCTCAGCACAAGCACRARGCTGCTCAGAGGGGTAACCTCAGGCACCAAGACAATGATTCAAAAAACTCCCGATCCCAGTGCCTCAATCACTTCACAGCCACCTTGTGTCACCAGCAAAAAAAAACGGGGGCCAAGGCTTCCCAGATGCCCCTTTCAGGGAAAGAGAGAAGAACAACCCCAAARGCAGCCCCACTTACAGAGTTAGGGCAGTATCTCTTCATCAGTTCATTGATGGCGATGTCRTTCTTGTGCAGCTTTGGGCCCGTATGGTACCACCCCACGATTCTTTCTCTGGCTGAGCAAAAACAAAAAGGATTTGGAATCAGAACCACAGRGAGACCCCAGCAGAGAGACCTGGACAGAGACTGGGTGGGCAGATTGAGGGGGAGAGTCTGATCCGTGTGGAGGAGAGGGAATTGGATTGCAAGGCTGGACTTGATGACCTTACRGGTCTTTTCCAATYTCAAGGATTCTGTGATYCATATGAATTCCCTTTTCCACAGCCCTGAAAGTTTTTGGGAYTGTCAGACAATCTCAACTCACCGTTGACCTTCTTAAACATTCCATACATGTTCTCCAGATAGTCATGGTCCAGGAACCACACGGTATCATCCTTGTCATCCTCATCAAAAGGTACTGGCAATAAAACAAAACACCAGCGTGTAAGAATCCAGCTTCTGGAATTAAAATGTTTAGCAAAATGCTCTGGGCTTGGGTATTTTTGGCACTAAAGGAGAGTGAGGTTTACTTAGGGGTGTCCACAACAATTTGYGCTTGTTGTTGGAAATGGGGTGATTTGTACATGGATAGACCAGCGTGCCTTCAGAAACCTCAGCACAATCCATCCACAAAATTCCGTGGCTTTGGAGAAGGGCAGGACACCTGAACTGACCTGCAAAACTGTTGGACACATCCAGGATCTTCTTCTGCCAGGARCCCAGCAGCACTCCGACCACTCGCTTCTGATTTCCCACTTTTCCTATTCTGAAATGAAAAGCGACTGTCACAGAGGGGAGCAGGGACCCCTCCCTCGTGTGGGTGGGTGATGACTGTGCTATCACTGTTTGTGTTTACAGCCACAAAGGCTGTGTTTACAGCACCCAAAGGGCGTTCCGGTGCTCTCAAACCACAGCCTGTCCCCGGGGAGGGGCCCGTGTCACTCAGGGGGGACACAATCCCGACACGGGCTGCGAACAGCGAGCAGCGACCGAACCCGGGGCCATCCACCGGGGGCTCGGGCACCTCCCGGCATTTGGGGCTTTCTTTTCGGCTCTAAAGCCGCTCGCCACCGGCGGAGTGAGCGCAATTAGGCCCAAATTACCCGGGAGGAGGAGGAACCGCGTTCCCTCCCGGCCCCGGG